ATAAAATCCAATTTTAAAAGTGATTTCCTGCTCAGGTTCTTCTACAGTTTGTGATTCAGACAACATACCTGTTAGTCTTGCAGAAGTGTTCTCTGAAGCTGTCGTCTATTTTTTCAAAACTATTCAAGAAGTACTTATCAGAGTCTTATTTTCCAGCCTGCTGGAAATCGGCATCTGTTATTCATATTTACAAAAATTTTAAAGAGCAATCTAATTTGTCTAACATCACATTAGTCTTCTCATCATAAGCAAGGTTTTTTAGTCTTTAATTAACAACTTAATTTCTCACCTTGAATCTAATAACTTACTTTCTGATTAGCGTAATGGAAATTCATCTTCTCATTCTACTGTTGATTTGTTAATGGTAACAACTGATAGGTTTTATTGAGTATTAAACAGATGTGGAGAGGTTAAGACTATTGTTCTGGACAATAAAAGTTGGCATGCTGGTCTTCTCCATAAGCCCTCTTCTTAAAGTGTATCAGGTAACATGTTTAAGATTATTTATTCTCATATTATTGAATACTTTCTTACCAATTGTAGTATTAAAGTTGTCCTTGATGGTCAGCACTCTTCTTCATTTCCTGTAACCTCAATGATTCCTCAAAGTTCTATTCTTGGCCCTATACTTTTTTAATTTACATTAACATTCTCCCAGAAATTGTCATGTCTAAGGTGACATTGTTTAATGATACTACCATTTATTCTTATCTTGATAAGAAGCTAACACTCTGATTGCTTAGAAAAAGCTTTTGAGCTTAAAAAAGATCTCACTTCAGCTACAGCATGGAGCTCTCAGTAACTGGTGAACTTTAACTCATTTTTTTTCAGGTAACTGTTATCTCAACAATCTAGATCTTTCTATATTTATGAACAGTAATGTACTTGATGAGTTATCTACTCTTCGTCTTCTAGGATTAACTGTTACGTCCAATCTTTCTCGGAAACGATATATCTAATTGATTGCAAAATTAGCATTTGCTAAGGTTACATCTCTTTATCTTGCTTGCAACTTTCTTACTCCAAATGGTATTTTTTATCTCTATAAATCTCAAATTCGTCCTTGTATGGAATACTGTTGCCATATCCAGAGTGGATCTTCAAATGATGGCCCTCCTTTTTTAGACAAGGTGCAAAAACGAACTGTAAACATAGTTGGACCTGCTCTTGCCAACTTTCAACTATAGTCACATCATTGTAATGTTGCTTCACTTTTTTTTTTCTATAAATACTATAATAAGTGCTGCTCTAAAAAAATTGTGTCTTTTGTACCTTTTACTAAAATTCATTCTTTTGTACTCGTTATTCAATTAAATCTCATCCTTTTACTGAGACTGTTCCTAAGTGCTTCAAAAATTCATATACACCTAGCTTTTTTTCTTGAGCATCAGTTCTTTGAAATTCGCTCCCTTCATCTTGCTTTCCTGATTCATAATAATGTGAATTTATAATAATGTATTTTTGTTGTTATGCCCATAATGTATAACTACATATTTCAAGGTTTTAAATAGAAGAAGCCATGTTTGAGACCATTTGTAGTACATAGCTTATTGCAGAACACATTTAGTATTACATAGTTGATTGGATGTTTTTGAGAGCATTTTTGTATCATCTGATTAAAGTTTGGTGTCATTAAGCAAATTTATAGTCATGTTATTAATATACAAAAGAAATAGAAGTGCGACAATTACAAAGCTTTGTGGTACTCCATTGAAAATGGAGTACACAAAGTTCTGTAATTAATTTAAAAAATTAACCCAGTCAAAAATGATTTTGACTTAAACAACTATTTGTTTTCTGTTTCCTAGGAAAACTTTAAAAATCAAACCATCAAAGTTGTATGCTTTCAGTTTAGCAAGTAATCTTTTGCTTAGAACAGTGTCCAAGGCTTTGGCAAAATCTAACAAAATTACAACAACTGGAATACTGATTTCTAAGTTTGATAAAATTTAGCTAAGACTTTCTAACAGATAACTGCTACACGATTTGTTCCTATGTTACTGCCTTGCAAGCAGATTATTCTTATTCTCTCTCTGCTGTCTCTCACTCACTCTCTCTTGAAAAATATATATATATATATAAATAAATATATATATATATATATAAATACATAATGATATATATAAATATAAATATATATATATATATATATATATTTCAAGAGAGAGTGAGTGAGAGACAGCAGAGAGAGAATAAGAATAATCTGCTTGCAAGGCAGTAACATAGAAACAAATCATGTAGCACTTATCTGTTAGAAAGTCTTAGCTAATTGCTGACCTTATAGTGTTTGAGGTTGGTTTGAACTCAAATAACATCTTTTTTAAGTACCGTGCCCACTGGGTAGGATTAGAACTAAAATTAGAACTAAAAACTTTAGCTTTAGGCTATAATATATAGAAAAAAATGTATATTTACCCAAAACATTTTTCTTTTCAAATGTAATATGCGTTATTCAAGTAGTAATACATTAATCTTGTAATCATAAAAGTTGCTTAAAAATTAATTTCTGTAATTGGTTTGGATTTGGGTTTGCAAATGTGATAAAAAAAAATTCAAAATTTGTGATTTTTGTTCATAAAGTGTGGGAGCTGGCGGCGAGCTGGTTATTTCTTTCGAACTGAGTTTTAAAAAAAACTTTCTGCTCCATAAGTCTGGTCATCATGATCATGATCATCAAGTCATTTAAGTCAATAAAATTTTTAATTTTATTTTTTTTTCACTTATTAGGTACGTATAATATATATAAGATTTATAAGTCATATTTTAAAAATCCAGAAAATTGTTTGAATAAAATATCCGGAAAAAATGGAAACATTCTTACAGTATTACATACATTGTTTTATATTATATTTTTATATTGATATTATGCTGTTAAATATTTGATGCGTGATTTAATGACAAAAGTTATTCATATCTTAAAAATTATACTACTCAGTCAACACGGGGCATATCATCAAGTGTCAGACGTCCATGAATTTTCTAGTATACATATATATATATATACTAGAAAATTCATGGACGTCTATACCTGCTCTCACCCCCTAAATGTGTTCTAACACAAAATCTAACATAAAAACACTAGGCTTAAAATTTTTTTGAACAAAAAATATTTTTAGGGGTAGCTCAAGGCCCTCAAAAATTTGATGGGTCCCTATTATTTTGAAAAAAAAAAGTTCTTCTAAAGTGTGTCACCCTGGTACTCAGAAGAAGCGATATTATATAAAAACTTCAAAAATTTTTATGTAAAAAACATGCCTAAAAAAATTGTTCTCAAAAAACCTGAAAATATTGACTTTTTTTATTTTCAGCTGGCTTTTATGCATTTATCCCTGAAAAAATTATTTTTATGAAAAATTATTTTCATTTTTAAATTTTTTATATAATTTTGCTTATTTTGAGTACCAGGTTGACATACTTTAGAAAAAGTTTTTTTTATCAAATTATTAGGGACTTCTCAAATTTTTTAAGGGCCTTGAGCTACTTCTAAAAATATTTAAAAAAAAAAAAAATTTTAAACCTAGTGTTTTTGTATTAGATAGAACACATTAAGGGGGTGAAAGCAGGTTTTTCTCAAAAAAGTTGTTTTAAGAATCACCCTAATATATATATATATATATATATATATATATATATATATATATATATATATATATATATATATATATATATATATATATATATATATATATATATATATATATATATATATTTATATATATATATATATATATACATTTATATATATATGTATATATATATATATGTATATATATATATATATATATATATATATATATATATATATATATATATATATATATATATATATATATATATATATATATATATATATATATATTTATATATATATTTACATATATATATTTAAATATAAATTTAAAATTTAGAAAATAAAAACAATAATCATACAGAAAGAGCAAACTTTTCACGAATCATCATGTCTTCTGGTTTATATTCTGATTTTGTTTTCATTATATATTCCAACTTTAACATTTTTTTAAAATCAACTTTTCTAAAAGTAATGAGAATAATGATGACCGAAATAATAACAAGACATAAAAAACATTTTTGTGAACTTTATTATCAACTTTTTTAATCTAGGAGGTTTAAGCTGAAACATCATAATCATCATCACCATCATCATCATCATCGCCATCGCCATCGCCATCGCCATCGCCATCATCATCATCATCATCATCATCATCATCATCATCATCATCATCATCATCATCATCATCATCATCATCATTATCATCATCATCATCATTATCATCATCATCATCATCACCAGGCTTGTGGAGCCAAGCTGGAGCTGAAACTGCTGTTTTTTAGTGGAGCTGGAGCCACAAAAAATGAGCAGCTCTCTGCTCTTGTGTTTTTCTTTGAAGGAATAGAATGTATATAAATGTTTTTACTGTAGACAAATTTATCGAATGAATTATTTAAAAAAATTGTTTTTTAATACTTTTTAACAGTTACAGTCTTGCCTAAAAGTAATAATAATGAATATTTTGACTTAGTATTCAACAAAATATTCTTTAATTTCTTAATATGCTATATTAAGAAAAAAACAAACAAATAAATTATATATGGAAACATCATTACAGTATTACATATATTGTTTTTATGATATTATGCTGTTAAATACTTGATGCGTGATTTAATGACCAAAGGTTATTCATATCTTAAAAATTATACTACTCAGTCAACACGAGACATATTTTTTTTAGGTCCTGTGCACACTGGGTACCCTATTGGCACAGGACGTAAAAAAGACATCTTTTAAATGTCTTTCAAACATTTTGGGCATATTTGAAAAAAATCAAACTTTTTCTTTAGATACTGTGCCCACTGGGTTAGAACTAAAACTATTACTGTGCCCACTGGGTAGGATTACTGGTAGCCCACTGTAGATTACTGTGCCCACTGGGTAGGATTAAAACTAAAAACAGAACCTAAAACTTTAGTTTTCGGTTATAATATATAGAAAAAAACGTATATTTACCCAAAACATTTTTCTTTTCAAATGTAATATGTGTTATTTATGTAGTAATACATTAACCTTGTAATCATGAAAGTTGTTTAAAAATTAATTTCTGTAATTGGTTTGGATTTGGGTTTGCAAATGTGATCCAAAAAAAAAAAAAAAAAAAAATCCAAAATTTGTGATTTTTGTATATAAAGTGTGGGAGCTGGTGGCGAGCCAAACAATTCTTAGGAGCCGGAGCTGAATTGTAAAAAAAAACTTTCTGCTCCACAAGTCTGATCATGATCATTGTCATCATTATTACCTGAAAAGTTTGATAACCCAGTGCCATAATTGTTCAAATAACACACTCTCAAGTGTGGCATATGCTTGATCTCTCCCAAGTGGAGTGTCAAGAGTTTCATATGCCAAAAGAATCACAGTGTATAGGCGATCTAAATTAATTTAAAAATCTATTTTAAAACTTACAGTTGAAATAAAAATTACACATCACTGAAATAAGTATAAAAAGTATAAAAACTGTGAAAATAAACTACTGGTAATTATAACTGACCAGAAAACAATACATGTTCTTAAAGAAAATGCTTGACTTTGCTTATAACTTTTTGTCTAAAAATGACAGCAACAAATGTTTGATTGAAAAATTAAGATGAATTAACTTACCAATATTAAATAAAATATCATTAACAATATGAGAAAATATTTTTGCTGTATCATCATCCACTGAAAATTCATTGTCTTCATTTAGATTCGTTGATATAATTTCATAAATGTGAGCTTGATTCTCTATGACACTTGGATTCAATGCTTCGTAAGTGTCCATGTTTGAAAATTTATTATTTGAAGTTACCTCTTCATAAATGTTTTCTTCTTGATTATTATCAAGAACTTCATAAGTGTTACTTGTTGTTTTATGTAATATGTCACCATACTTTTCATTGTTGACTTTGAAACTTGCTGAAATTGAACTATTTTCAGGTTCAACACAATAATATTGGTTTTCAGTCTCTATACTGTCATTACTATCAATACTTTTTTGAGGACATAAATAAATATTTTCATTCGCTTTAATTTTAGAATTGTTCAAGGCAGAATCATTTAATGAATCTTCAACTTTATGTTGGTTATTCAAGTTATTAATGTTAAGGCCACAGTAATTTTCTGTTGGTTCTTCGTCTGAATCGGAAAACATAGAACTCTCAAGCTCTTCAAATTCTTTCTCTAGGAAAGATATTTTATCGCTATCAATAAAATTTGAATCATTTGAGACTTTTGTGGCAGATGACAAATTTTCAGACGAAACAGATGAGCTAATAGATCCTGAAATATTATTTTTATCATCAATAAGAAAAGACTGAAATTTTGCTTGATGAGTAACATAAATATTTAAGGTTGAATTCTGATTACAGGTGTCTGGTTGAAAGGTTTCATTAACAAAGGGATCTTCCTTGACAAATTGATAAATTTGGTTATATATAGAAGTCTGCAGTTTTATAAGAGCTTTTCCAAGAGGATGGTCTTTACGCCTTTAAAAAAAAAGAACATTTTTAATATATTAAATAAATATATAATTTTATGAATTCTAAAACATTTTTCCATACAAAATAATGTCACAAAAAAAAACTTAAAAAAAATATCATACAACAATAAAAGTTTCAAAACTGCTCCTATAGCAACATGATCTTCTTTATTTAGTACAAATGCATCACGAAATTGAATAGCCCATTGCTAAAAACAATTTGTTCTATATGTTTTTAATGTTAAAAATTTTGATGTATTAAAATCAACTTTGATATCAAGTTTGTTGTTGCTTTCTAATTTTAACAATTTTAATTCTTTAAAGAGTTTTAATTTTTATACAAACAGACTTAAACAAGTTTTTGTGACCGACAAAAATCATATTTTGGATCATGGCTTTACTTAGATAACATTAACCCAAAGATATATACATATTCTAAACTATTTTTTAAAAAAAGCTGGGGTTAGTTACCTATTTTCTTAAAAAGAAAGCAAAAATCAATTGATTAAATTATCATACTTTTAATATTGTTTCATATAATTTTAACAAATAAACAAATAATTTCATCAAAAAATCCTATTATCATTTGTAGCAAACAAAAAGGCTGCAAGTAACCATCACTCAAGTTTGAGGTTACCAGAAAACAGAGAATATTGCTAAATAAAGTCACACTCGGTAGAAAAATTCAAATAAAGTAAAAATTAAATTTTTTGCTCCAAAAATATTTGAAACCAGACAAAATCAATAAAAAAACTTAGAACAAGGTACTTTTGCATAAAAGTTTTATTATCAGTAAAAATTTTTTAGATAAAACTATTGTTATTATTTTTTTTATTGCATAAAGATTGTTATTATATTTTTTAGGCATAATTATTTTTTACTCTTTGTGTTGTTATTTTTTACTTTTTGCGTTTTAGTAAATACAACATTAATGACTATAATATTAAAAAAAAACAAAAAAAACAAAACAAAACAATGCAATAATAAAATAAAAAAAAAGATGTTACCACTTCATGTTCAAATGCTAATATTTCTGTCAGCAAATTTTGACGAAATTCATTATCAATTTTTGATCGTTTTTGAAGTTTGCTGCATCTTCTATAAAATATAAATAAATAAACATTTGCTTTTGCTTTTTTTGCATTTGCTAATGCTTTTAAATCTCTGAAACACCTACAGTAAAATAATAAACATAACCAGTTATCAAATTACCATTTACAGTCAGTAACATAACATTTAACATCAGTATTTCAGAAGTGAATTTCAAAAAACACTAGTGAATTATTTTATACAAAGTAAGCTTATCTGTTTTCAACAAAATTTTTACTTCTAAGTTTTTTTATTCTATAAAAATAAATGAGTAAAAAGATAAAATATACTCAGTTAAACAATTTATATAACTAAATATAGATTTAAATTTGTTTAAAATTTATAAATAAAAATGATTAAACAAACTGAAAAGCAAAAATAAAAAATTCAAATAAAAAAAAATGTACCTTTCTGCTTCTGCTTTTAATCTGAGAACCTGTTCAGCTAATTTCTCTTTGAACTTTTTGTTAAAACAAAATAACATTTTAATTTAATGTAAATTATGTGTTAAGAATTTAAAGCAAACAAAAACAATATTTTGAAAAAAAACGCAAAAAAAAGAAAAGAAAAAAAAACACAACTGCTTTTTCTTTAGCCTGTGTAATTGCCATTTTTTCAGCTGCTTGACGAAATAAACTCAAATTCTGAACAAAAAAATATGAATTAAAAAATAAAAAATAAAAAAATAAATAAATATTATTTGAAGATAAAATAAAAATAGATGTATTTAAATGACTCACATATGACACTGCATCAGACCTTTGCTTAGTATTTTTACCATGTAATGTTTTTCGCCTTTGATAAGCTTGAAACATTGAGTGATTAGGAGTATTTTGCAATCTGAAAATTCAAATAAAAAAAAGCATTATATTCAATATCCACCATTTTATTAAAAGTAACAAAATATAGATGGGCATCTGAGGCTTCTTAGCTGTGTTAAAGACAATGAGAAGAAGAAAGAAAAGAAGAAGAAAAAATTCTGATTAAAAATCTCTAATTGAAATTCAAAAGTAGAATCTTGAAATGAAAGTGAAAGTAGAATCTTGAATTCTTCCTAATGGTAAGACAAGAAAAATACTTAGTGCAGATCTGAAAAATTCTGGTGATCAACTGAAATTTTTTTTTTGATTTCAACTAAAATTTAAATTAAAGTTGATACCGAAATTTTCTTTTTATACTTTTTATAAATTTGGTAAGAAACAAAAATTTTAAGCTGTTCAACAACTTTTAAACATTTAGTAAATTTAAAACTAATGTATGTACTTTTCTGACCATGAGTATCACCCAAATTGCTCATCTTCAAAGTTTTTTTCTTTGTGTATGCTTTTAAAGTTAATTAAAGTAGTAATGAGGTTTTATCTACCTCATTTCAATTTTTTTTTAAATTTGGCATCAACAACATGCATTTTTATCATATATTTGATATAGCTGAAACATCTTATTATACAAATAATATTTAAAACATAACTGTTGTGGGCGTCTTATGAAAAAATTTAGCTATTTTTATTGCAGTATACATTTGTTGTTTTTCTTGCAAAACAAACTGCATTATACATAACTTTGTAGCTGAATATATTCAAAGTTATAGAAATATTTGCACAAAATTATAATTTAACACAAATAACAGAATGGGTGTTGATGTAAAATCTGGACAAAGTTTTTCATAAACAATTTACCAAGCAGACTTCTTAAAAAATATTGTTTGTATGCTGATGACAATAAAATAATTGCTCCTATTTATACCAAGGTTGACTCATAATCATTTCAAAATGACATAAAAAACTTGATGAATGGTATGTTGAATAGAAACTGGGTTTGAATTTTGAGAAATTTAAAATAATGAAAAATAATATCAAAGAACTCGAAAAAGTTCAAAGAAGAGCAACTAAATTGATACCAGAAAAAGACATTAAGTTCAAAGACTAATAGGTGACCTTATACAACAATATAAATTATATAAAGGTTTTTGAACCTATTGATACAAACAAAATCCAGATACAAATGCATTCAATCAATACACCAGGTCCAGCATCCAATATTAGAGATTAAAAACATTGTGTTAAATCAGAGTTTGTTAAAAATTGTTCAAGTAAACAACACTTCTTTACAAACTGAGTTGTCTTTGGATAACATAATTTGCCAGAATTGGTAGTGGAGTCTACATCAGTCAAAGAGTTTAAATTCAGAGTTAAACTGATTGACTTGCAGATAATATTGAACAAGAATAACGAGTTACAGTTAAATTTTTAAACAACTATTGTGTTGGCTGTCATAGATATTGCTTGGTCTTTACCTCAACAGCATTTGAATTATATATTATATTATATTAAATGGGCTTGAGTAAGATTTTTTGGGTGTATTTTATATTTCATATAAAATAATCAAAAAATGGCAAGCAAGTGAAGGTTCAGAGAAAGCTCTTATTAAATAACACAGTCTTCACAAGATCTTAATTCATGGCTTGTAAGTACTTTTGTTAATAGGTAATAGTGACGAAGATCAAGAAGCTAGAAATAAGAATTATATATATGTAGGCAATATTCCCATAAAAATTCAAAATTAGAGCTAAATGAAGATGTCATGAAAAGGCTTTCATGTACATCTGCTTCAGTTGTTTTATCTACACTTCTTTACAAACAGGGTTGTTTTTGGATAACATAATTTACCGGAATTGGTAGTGAAGTTTACATCAGTCAAAGAGTTTAAAACCAGATTTGAGCTGATTAACTTGCAGATAATATTGAGCAAGAAAAACAGATTGCAGTTAAATTTTTAAACAATTATTGTGTTGGCTGCTATAGATATTGCCTGGCGCTCTATCTCAACAGTATTTGAATTATTATTATTACATAATATATTTTATTTATTAAAATTTAGTCATATTATATAATAAAAAATTGCTTAAATATACATTATAATATAAAAAAAATATGTTTTTAAATATTTGTATAAAGATAACTTTTATAAGAAAATAAACATAAAGGTAAAGAATGTAATTTAGAACATTTTTTAGTAGAGAAATTTACAAAATCAACTATATTAAGTATCAAGCAAAAAAGCTAAACTCAACCTCAAGCAAAAAACCTAAAGCAGCCTCAGAAAAAGGTAGAAGCTTTAAAATGTTTAATCAGCATGGTGTATCCTTTTGTAAAGCAGATTGTAAATTTAGATATTGTTTACAAAACAAATTTAGTTAACACTATTTCCATATAAGTATAATGTTTAACTTGTCTGTTCAAAGTTTGTATATTAACGTAGAGCAAAGTTTTTTTCACTTTTTTTCCGACAAATTAATAATGGTAAACAATTCATACTTAACAGCAAATCCTAAAAACTAATCTGAAATATTTAGATATTTAAAAATATTTAGTATAAAAGTATATACTGTAAACCAGATTATAATTGTTATGGCCTTTACTTTAATTTAAATTGTTGTGGCTGAAGTGGTAATTGTAAACAAAATAAAGTAATAAACAAATAAAATAAAATAAATTATGACTTGAATTTATGCTTATACTAATGGCTATAAAATAACAATGACCCTCTGTTAAGTCTATTTTGAATTATAAATACTTTGGAAAATTCCTCATTACATTGATTGGGAAAGACTTTTATAATGGACTAAATAGAGGCTAGTTAGCACACTTCCAGATATACACTTACATAAGTAAAATTATTTTAACACCCTTCAAATAATGGCTTCATTTTACATTTATAACTTACAAATAGCAAGTGGTTTTTTGACAAAATTTAAATTCTACCAATGAACTATGATCTACTTATACATATTACAAAAATATAAAAAAACTTATGCTCACAGTTGGGTCAAGGGAGAAGCAAATACATGGAGTAAATTTGTAAATTACATTTACAGTTATTATGCTATGTATGTATTTAATAAAGCAAAGATAACAATTTCAATCAATTCTGCAGTGCCATGTATTGGATACTAAATATAAATGGACTGTTTCAAATACCATTGTCTTTTAATCAGCATGTTTAAATATTATAAATAATTAGTAATCAGGAAATAAAAGTAAATAAATAATGAAAATTAAATATCTCAAAATTATGCTGCTGCATTGATCAATCATGTAAACTAAATATCGTTGGTATAAGGGGAAATGCATAACTTTGTCCATTTTTGTTCCTTTTTGTCAAGTATGTCCATTTTTTGCAAGTCCATTTTTGGCAAGTCCATTTTTGGCAGTATGAAGTTACTCATACTACTATTTAGTACTTTAAATTTTCTACCGCTTGATATACCACACAAATTTAATAAAACAATTATTAATGAGTTATTAAGATTTTTTATTTCAACAATTACACAAAAACGTAATATTTCAATTATAACGCAAAAACTTATTTGTTTATAATCTCAAAATGATGTTAGTGCATTTCCCTTGTATACCAATGTTATCTTCTCAACAACATTATCAATAGAGTTTAAATATTTTAAGCCCTAAAACAAGATAACATTATAACCTTATGTTTGAAGAATAACCAGGTGGTGTCGGTAATGATGACCATAATAGCTCATGAACTATAGTGGAATTTGTTGAATTTAATGAAGTGGTAAATGTTGTTGGTGTATGTGGTATTGTTGGTGTAGGTGGTGTTGTTGGTATATCAACTCTACAACCACCAGTCGTTTCACATGTTTCATTATTTAATTCAGAAATTTCTTTTTCATTTTCTTTAAAAAGAAATAAATATTGTACAGAAAAATATATTAAATAAATGTTACAATATATAAAATGGTATGATAAAAAGAACAAAAAATTTTTTTTTATTATTTTCGATAATAATAAAGTGTACTTTTTTGAGATTGTTCATCAAATATATCAATAACTCTTCCCAAACATTTCTGTGTCAATTTTAATAGCTTTGAAGTATCATCACATAAACTTTGCATGTCTGAAAAAAATATTCAAGTTCTGTAAAATGAATCTTTATTAAACAATTTATTTAGATACATTCGGTAAATAAACTTTCTAAATACGCTTGATAAAACACAATTTATTTCATTTATATATATATTCTGTAAAGCAAGTTTTACAATAAATTGAATTTTTTTATATATAATAAAAAATTAAAAATTTTTTTTTTTGCATTTTCTTTTTTGTATTACCATTTGAATGAAAAGTTTCTACAAATATTTAAACTGTAAAAATTAAATAAAACTACCTTGCTTGTTCCACGCATCATCTTTCAGAGTCTGAACCATAAATAGAATGCTACTTAAGTACTTGCAATATGAAATCTAAAATAAAAATTTACTTAATTTACAATATAGCCTAAAACACTCAAAAAATATTTTATTAAGTAAATGCTGTATTAAATTATCTTTAACAATGTTTAGAAAACATTAAAAAAAAAAATTTAAGTTGTTAAAATAAAAATCTGTAAAAGAAAACTTTAATAAGTAAAATATTTTGTGGTCATATTTTAGAAAAAAAAAAAGCCATTAGAGTCAGAACATATTCGTCTTTAGAGGTAAAGGATTATTTAATTTATTTTCAGTGTTTAAATAAAAAAATCATTAAATTAATCTTTTTTCTTTACATATATATATATATATATATATATATATATATATATATATATATATATATATATATATATATATATATATATATATATATATATATATATATATATATATATATATATATATATATATATATATATATATGAGTGGGTCAGAAGCCAAGGGGTACAAGTGACAATTTTACCAAAATTAAGTTAAGAATATAATTTGATAGAAGAAGCAAACAAAATTGTTGGTGGCCAAGGGATACAAGTGAATCTCTGCCCTGTGCTGCTTTCTACTGGAAAAACATAAAAAACAGCTGAGTATATTTAACAAAAATACTTTAACTTTGAACAGCTGTATCTCAAAACTATGAAAATGTCGCTTGTACCCCTTGGCTTCTGACCCACTCATATATCAAATATATATATATATATATATATAAAATTTATTATACCTTTGTATCACCTTTATTATCTTCATTCATGGCATCACGCACAGTTTGAGTTGCTATAAAAAAGTTAGTTTGGACAGATGGCAACGCCATATTGATTTAGTTATTATGCATAGCTGAAATTAACATAAGTGAAAATAAAATAAGATTTTTTTTCTTTTTTTATGTCTAGTGTTAAACAAAAACTTTCATAAAAGTGTAAACTAAACAAATTTAATGTTTTTGCTTTTATCAAATAATTATTTTTTATAATTGTAATATGTTTTCACCTCATATTTTTGATGAAAACTATTTTTTATACAATTGGCTAAAAATTTTATTACTACAAAATTAAATAACTATTATTACTACAAAACAAAACTACAAAATTAAAACTTTATTTTATTCAAAGCTAATATAAAAGCATCGATGCAGATATAGACTGATATTAACCATTAAAGAATTATTCAAACTGAATCAGCTTTATAGATTTTTAATCTTTCACCAACTCTTATTACTAGTCTCAGGAAAAATGAGAGTTCCTCTAAAGTCTTACGAAGTAACTACTTTTAACACTAATAGCTTTCAATCAATAATGAAATAATATTCTAAGATGAAAAACTGCCATTGTCTTTTATGACCTTAAAAATATTTAAAATTCAAATTTTAACACTAATTTTCAAACTTTGTAAAAAAATTCAAAATTTTCATTATTTTTCAAACATAAGAACTTTAATATTATTGCTACTTTAACAATTTTGTTGTATTTATACTTCATACAATTTTGTTATATTTATTGAGGTGACTTTATAAGGCTTTACAATACTTTATCTAACTGTATTTATTACCACAAAATGACTTGAGACCTCAAAGGGTTGTTTAACAAAACATTATATATGGCCTTATGCTAAAAGGTTGACAGCTATAATAGTTGCTATCATGATGAACTTTTTGATGATGAATTTTAAAATTATATTTTTAAAATAATAGACAATTTTTAATAACCATCACCATAAAAATTATCATCATCATCCACATCATCACCATCATAAAATGCTCCTAAATTAGAATATATAATAAAAAAAACTTGAACAACTTTTGAAAAAATACATTACATTTAACACAGCTTTAATAAATATACAAATAATATACATACAATACAATACATACATACAAATAATATACATACAATACAATACACATATACAAATACAACATACAGACACATCATACAAATACAATATACAGAGAAATAAAATAGAGACACAGTATACAAATGCAGCACACAAATTTATGCTATATTTGTATACATATATATATATATATATATATATATATATATATATATATATATATATATATATATATATATATATATATATATATATATATATATATATATATATACACACCGATAATAGAAAACCAGATAATAACTAGGTTTGTTCAGATAAAAACTAGGTTTGTTTAAATATTTAATTGAGACAGCCCTCGAAATTAGAATTTTAATTGAGACAGCCCTCAGAATAAGGAAAAAATTAGGTCGGCAATATTTTGCTGACCTTAATCTGTTAGAGGCTGGCATCAGGTCAGCAAAAAAATTTGATACAAAGGTTTTACCATAAAACCTAGAGATGAGATCGACAATTTTTTACAGACCTCAAACATTTCTAGGTCGGCAGTTAAGTCAGCAAAATGCCAACCCTAAATTCGAGGACTGATGAGATAAAATTTGGATTTCTTTTGCTAAAATTCTTGTTTTTAATTTTTTTGTTTTTTGCTATTTTCACATTCATATGATTGTAGTTGACTTAAAACAAAATAAAAAACTTTTTCTGCTGTCAGCAAACTTGAGTCCTAACGACAAAGTACTTGGGCTCCTAATTTTACAGGCTTAAAGTTAGAGCTCAAAGATTCTAAAGATTTAGTTAAGACTTTAATTCTTAAAGATTTAGTCTTTAAATCTTTAAGAATTAGCAGCTTTAAATCTTATATTGTTATTGGAGACTGCAGTTGGGTAAGTGCCATATTAATACACTTGCTTAACATACTTAACAAGCGTTCAACAATATCAAACAATTAGTTCCAACAAGTCTTGCAGTGTAAAATAGGTTTAAATTTATGTCCAAATTCTAATTTTACATGCTTCTGCAATATATTGCCAATTTTAATAGGTAATTTCTTAAACAATTTTATTATTGTGCAAGCTTTTTTTAAAATTAAAAAATAATCTTTTATAACAACAGCCTTTACTGAACTATTTTTAAATTAAGTGTAGCCCAGCTCTTTACCTTGATTAAACAATTCACTGTCATCCTCACTATCATTAATTTAAAATTATCGTTTTGTTCTAAAACTTCAGTTGGTTTCACATAAAATATATTCCCTATTCCCATATGCTATTTTTCCAAATGATTTCTTGATATTCCTTTTTAATACCTCAAGACCTTTAGCAGACATTGTAATTTTCAAGTTTCACAGTGAGACTTTACAAATTATTAATAATAATAATAATAATAATAATAATAATAATAATAATAATAATAATAATAATAATAATAATATATATATATATATATATACATATGTATTAAAAATTTTTCTTTATAAACTTTAATAATGAAGTCAATACTAAGATTTTCATTTATTTCCAGACTTCTTCAATACACAATGTAAGTTTATATAAGCTTTTTTATGTAATACAAATGTCAGTTTTTAATTTTAAGTTTATATGCCATTTTTTCATTACAAAAAATTTTCAATTTTTTATGGTGTATAAACATAAAATAAAATTAAAAAAGAAAAAAAAATCTGTCTAAACAAAAAATCAAAAAATATTATATTAACATTATTATTACTTAAGTTGAATAGAGTTTTATATAAAATAAAATATTAAAACAAAAATTTATTTATTGCCATGTTAACAATTTTTATAAAGTTGTCATGGCAACTAAGTAATCATAAAAATAGTTTAAAGCAGAAGTTGCAAATATAAAAAAGGTATAAGAAAATTAAACTTAATTTCATTATATTTAAAAAATATTTACATAAATAAATACAACACTTGCATATAGTAGTCATTTCAAGTTGATTTCCTTAGAAAATAACTTAAAAATTATTTTCTCTTAATTTCTGCTTATGTTGTGTTTTCTGTTCCATTTTTAAAACAAAATGCAGACATTGCAATAATGCAACCTTTGATAATTTTAGTAGTTAGCATTGGTTAATATAAAATAAACTATAGTTGTCAGACTTTAAATATCTCTGAACATTCTATCAAGTCGCTTTAGTCTTACTATGCTTCTTTGTTTTGGCGTAAGATGATAAATAAGACAGTTTTTCGTGCTAGAATCATTACTCAGCAGCATGTCTACAAATGATTTCCATTTTTTAAAGGAAATTGATGAACTTTGTTCAAGAAGAAAACAATCTTTGGTCTTCTTTAAGTAATGCCTTTGCCAAAATATCAATAATTCCCTATAAATACCAATAATTCCCTATAAATATCATAAATTCCTTATAAATATCAATAATTCTATATAAAATCATAGCAGTTACATTTACAAGAAATAACACTCTTAAAAATTTTCATTAGTGCAATATTTTTTATTTTAAAAATTTCATGTCTGCATATTTATTATTTTTAACATCTAATTATTTTATGATCAAATTATAAATGTTGAGCTACCATAGATTTGAAAGAATAAGGCCAGGCTGTTTTTGGGCTTGTTCTTCCATTACAAATGCTTCTAAATACTGGCTTAACACACCATGATTGTAAGAAAACATAAGAAATACAAGTGTTGTATTCAAGCAACTGACATTTTCCTGAAAAAAAATAATTAATTAATTCAAACACCATCTTAATACTTTTCAGTTTTATTCACTTCAATCTCAAAACCTAAATGATTTATATTCACTTCACTGGTACAATGATTGCTTTTAAAAAATACCTGTGTAAGATTGTCGATGGATATTGATGTTATAAGTTTATATACTAAATAAACTTTATTTTCCCATTTCTGGACGAGATTACTTAAAAGACACTTTTGTACATCATAATGACCAGTGTTTAAAAAATGTTCATAAGATAAAACGGTGCTGCGCAAAAACATGTTTGAATCAACAATGTTTGCTGTCATCATAGAGAGAAAACAATCTATCTACACAAAATTGAAAATGACTTGTTTTTTAATACTTTTTTTTTTTTTTTTCGACATTTAAATATAAATATTATTTTTTATTGCAATCAAATTAAAAAGTTTTAAAAGCTGTTAAAATAATAAAATTAAAATATATATATATATATATATATAAAAGTTTAACAAACATACTTGCTTACTGGATTCTATGCATTCATTAAATTTTATATACCCACAAGCATTAAATTTCATTAATTCACCAAGCAGATCAAAACTGCTTTGAATAATTTCTTTTGACTGCAAATTCTCATTGATTAGATTATGAACTAAATGCTAAATTGCAAATTAATATAAAAATATAAATTAAACATAAATCACTCTCTTTAGATATAAAAGTATAAATGTCAAAAAAAAAAAAAAAAATAATAAGAAACATTAAAAAGCTTAAATTATATGGATTTAACATAAAGATTCTAAATAATAGATATTTCAAAAACTCAACTTTACTCACCAGTACATTTGCAGTAAAATATTAAAAACAAAGATAAAAAATTACAACTCCAAAACACCTAGACTAGCAAAAAGAAGTAACAAAAATAAGTGCACTCAACTGTGCTAAAAAATAAAAAATTGCAAGGGAACTATTCTTGACTATGATTTTTTTTTTTCATATCAAATCACTCAAGCATTAATCGAAATGATATATTTGATATTCATAAAATAAAATCTAATATATCTGCTGCAAAATTGAAACTTGCAAAATTTAATCCATTTTTCCGAATATATAGGAAAAACTGTTACACATTTTTTGAATTTTTCAATATATACACAGTGGTGTGAAAATATTAGAACCAACAAAGCATAAAAGAATGGCTTCTTGTAAAATAATATTTATATATTTTTTAATAAATAAAAAGTTACTTAGTTTTGCCTGCATTCTGTCATGTTTTGAAATGAGATTATTTATGAGCTAAGAGATAATAATTTTAGTTTATAAAAAATAATTATTCCAAAAATTTACTTTAACCTGTTCTTTGTGTAAATTTCATCTTTCAATTAAATGTGTTTTTAAAACCCAAATTCAACTTTCAGTTAAATTTGGTTTAAAAAACCAAATTCGGGGTACACATATGGCCTGAATTTGTCTTTCAGTTAAATTTAGTGCATGCATATGGTCTAAATTTGCGTTTTGAAAAGATGACTTTACCAGCCCTTAAACCACCATAAAAGTTTATATATATATTTTTTATATTAATTCACCTCCACAAGATAAAGAAGGCCACTACAGATAAGGAGGCTACTTAATTATGGTTATAACTCCAAAACGCAAACCTTGACAGATAAGGTTGCTGCGCGGAGAAACAAGTTGAGCCCGGTAATACAAGGGACATGGGGGGGGGGGGGGATCAAACCCGGAGCCTCCCACATGTAAAGCGAGTGCACTAACACTACACCACTACCCCAAAATATAGCTGAACAACAAATTGCTTTCCCCACCATGAACAACAAATTGCATTTCCCCAGCAATGTATTGCTTTGGAGTTTTCTTTTTATGAAATGCATTAGATTTTTGAGATAAACTTTTTCTACCTAAACTTGACTGCAATTTTATAGCAAGACCTTTTTAAAACTGTAATGGATTTGCCTTATAGGAGCGATAAAGCAAAAACTTTATTTTGCTTTATATTTATCTTTAAGTTCTTTCTTATTTCTACTTTCTGCTTTTTTATTGATAGATTGAGCCACTTTATATCATTGCTAAATAAATCCAACTGAAGATTAAGCAATATTTGTTAATGTTGAAATGTCAATCTGTGAAAAAGATGGAAAAAAATTTTCCAAAACATTTTCTCAATTTAATATTTATTTAAACAATAATAACCAATACTTAACAACAATACATTAACTTCAAAAACTTGTAAAAACAAATTTGAAATTTTTAAAATAGTTTTTGAGTCAACTTTTAAAGGGTGCTGAATTTAAATTTTAACCAATACATGCATTTCTGTGAATTATAATATATATATATATATATATATATATATATATATATATATATATATATATATATATATATATATATATATATATATATATATATATATATACAGTTATGGCCATTGAAATCCGACCAGTGCTGAATATAAAGAAAAACAGTTTATGCACACGAATCATCAATTTATTTTCTTCCCTTCTTCACATTAGCATTTATTTTATTGCACTGTAAAATTTATTAAGCTATATATCTCATTGTAGGGTATGGATAATCATTTAACTGTCACAATTTAATTATGACTACAAAGGAAGGTGTTCGTGCTAATATTAAACTTTTATGGGAGGATGGTGCAAGTGAGCGTCAGATATCAGCAGTCAGCGTCAGCAAGATTGCGAATGCCAAAATCTACTGTTCATGATATTATACAACTAATCAAAGACACCTGATCCACTGCGCCCAGAAAACGTTTTGGTAAAGCTAGAATTACTAGCAAACAAACAGACAATATGATATGCAGGGCTGCTGTGAGAGATCCAACAATATCCAGCACACAAATCAGGGCAGATCTACCTAATGACGTTATAGTCAGCACTGGAACAATAAGAAGACGTTTATTGAAAGATGCAGGTCTACATTCTCGTCGTCCAGCCCTCAAACCACGACTGTCTTTAAAGAACATCCGTGATAGGATTACATTTTGTAGAGCTCACAGACACTGGTCAATAACCAAATGGCGCCAGGCAATGTTCAGCGACAAGACACAAATAAAGCAATTTGCTTCGCATAAGTCATTAGTTCGTCGCCCCCCTAATCAGCGTTTTAATGCAAGGTATACCGTACCAGCTGTCAAGCAATGTCCTTCAATCATGGTGTGGGGCGCGATAGCTTCATCTGGTCCATGTGGTACTTATTTAATGCAGAAGGGACAAACTGTTAACTCCCAACAATATCTAAAAATCCTTCAAGAAAAGGTTCCAAATTTGATGGAAATTCGTCGTTGCGAGATATTCCAGCATGATGGTGCACCGTGTCACCAATCTCGTCTTGTAAAATCTTGGTTAGAGAATCACAACGTTCAGGTTCTGGGTCCTTGGTCAGGATCATCCCTAGACTTGAACCTAATCGAAAATTGCTGGGTCAAGTTAAAGTCAGCAGTATCCAGAACTAATCCTACATCACTGGACGATCTAGCGCACAAAATTCGTCAAGCTTGGATTACTGAAATAACGCCAGAATATTGTCAGGCTCTCGTGGATTCAATGCTAGATCGCATTAATCCAGTCTTGAAAGCACATGGTGGTGCCACTAAATATTAAATTTAATGAACCTGAGAGTAAAAAACATTAATATAAACATTAAATATGTACGATATGTTACATTATAATCATTAATTGCTACTGTTGTTCTTTTATTGCTATAATACAATTGTTTATTACTACATTAAACTAGTTTTAAGTAAAATGATACTGGTGGTCGGATTTCAATGGCTATAACTGTATATATATATATATATATATATATATATATATATATATATATATATATATATATATATATAAATATTTATGTATTCACACACCATTGACCACAAAAATTTTTGTTTTGATGACTTGACCACAGTTTGAAACATGTTTTCAAAGTTTGAAGACTGAAATAACTTTCCTAGAAAACTTAAAAAAACTTTAAACATCTTTACTTAAAAAAAGAAAAGAGAGAGATCAAACGGACTTGACTTGAACTAAAACACAAAAAATAAAAATAAAACTAAAACTAAAAATAAAACTAAAATAAAATTCAAAAACCTTAAATGCAAAGTTTATTTAAATTAAGTTTTTAATTATGTTTGGAATAATAAATTTTTATCTTTTACCCTTACTCTTTATATAATCATATGAAAAACACTTAAAACAAAGGAACAATTTACTGATAATAATTTTTGCTCAAAGAAACAATTAAAGTTGTATATAATTTTTAAAATTTATTTATGATTAAACTGTATAAGTATGAACTTTTTAAAAGTAATATTATTAAAAAAAAATCATACTGTTTCCATAAACAACAGTAAAGGTGTAAGTTTCAATGTTATTTATTACATAGGTAAAACATTTTTATTCAGCGCGTTTTTGAAATGTTAATGGCCGCAGTCAAATCGTAAACACAAAATATTAATTGTGTTGTCATATAATGGCCTGCAATAACACACCTTCCTGACCAAGCCTGATATATGTGTTTATATAAATATATTATATATTTATATAAATAATAATAATAACCTTTATTAGATCTTTGTCAATTAGAAACCTTTGGTCAATAGGAGTAACACCTCCTCTCAGAAAACCTTCAATCGCACGAGACAGCCAGAATCTAACATATAAAACTTTATAAATCAACAAGTTTGTAAATTAAAAATAGTCAAACTATAAAAAAAAAAGAAGATTACCTTAAGAGGTTATTTGGAGGACATCTTTTTAAAACATTTACTATCTTAGTAAGAAGACCTTCAGAGCCAATGCACATGTACTTGCTAAATTAAAAAAGAAAAAGAAAAAACTTCAAATGACATAGATAATATAAATTATATACTTTTTGCATCTAAATAATTGTTTACAACTAGTGCATAATTTTAATTTGAACAAAAAAAATCTAGTTCAAAAAGCTTCTTTAGATTCAGTCTGGAACCCAACTCTAAAAATTGAGATATTAAAACTTAAAAAGGTTCAAAGAAGAGTCACAAAACTTATTCCCGAACTAAAAAAAACTAACCCTAAAAAGAAAATCCCTAGAAATCAAATTCAATAACTTGTGAAAATCACAGATCTAGGGAAGACTTGGATCACTACAAATTATCAAATGGTTTACAAGTTGTGAACTGGTTCTAAAATAAGAAACTCGTTTACTTGATAATAAGTGAAGGACCTCCATTGAATAAAACTGGACATTACAAAGAATTGAACGCAAAAAAATTAAGTATTCTTCAAGAAATGATTTCTTTAACAACAGAATAATTAAAAACTGGAATTCTTTACCATATAATGTTTTTAAATGAAGGACCGTAAACTGCTTTAAGGCTTAATTTGACAATTTAAAACAATAACTGTTATAGCATCTTTGCCTGCTCTGCATCAATGTATATTGTTGTTACAGAAAATATTTTTAATATTACTATTACTATTCTATTCTTTAGACTAAATACTTTAATAAAACATACACATTAACATTAAAATTTAACACCATGCAACTTAGTACATAAAAAGTACATAGAACAGTTCAAAAGAGAAAAAAAAACAACATATAACCTATTAGAAGGATGTATTGCATCAGGTAAAGAATATCCTTCCTTTTCTAAATAAAAATAATAACAAATATATATATATATATATATATATATATATATATATATATATATATATATATATATATATACATATATACATATATACATATATATATATATATATATATATATATATATATATATATATATATATATATATATATATATATATATATATATATATATATATATATATATATATATATATATATATATATATACATACATACATATATATATATACATAAAAATAAACTGAAATTTCTGATAATCTAGAAAATTTTATTTAAAAACGCAATTTTACATTTGCTGTTTCTTTATACTCGTATTATGTTAAGAATGATTACACTTGTTTCACAAATTGAGGTTTAATACATAAGTTGACGATATAAGTTAATAGCGAAAGTTAACAACTGGTTTTGATTTTCTCTGTGAAACAAGAATTTTTCAAGGTATTTGTGAAAATTCTTAAAACTTTAGTGTGAATTTTCAAAATATTTTGTGAAAGTTCTCAAAAATTTTTCTAAATCAGTTAAAAACTTAAAATCTTACAAGTTTTTTGGCTTTCATTTTTCAACCAAAATTTTGCTTTTTACCATTTTTATAAAAATACCTTATTCATAAAAAGCACTGAAAATAAAATTTTGGTATCGGTTCAAATTGAAAATTTTGCCGAAACAGATCTGAAACAGAATATCGATCGATCACTAATATATATATATATATATATATATATATATATATATATATATATATACATATTGACACATTTATATATTATATATTATATTATACATATTCACATATTTCTTTAATACATTTACATTATTTAATGAATATAAAGCAATTAATTAATAAATTAATACTTATAAAAAACAACTATATATTTATACCAAGTATTTATGACAGATTAATCTTGTATAAAGTTAAGACATTTATAAACCTGCATATGTTTTTATGCTGTTGGCAACTAACTAAAAAGTTAAACTGCCAACATCAAATCATATAAATGACAAAAAGAACATAAGAAACTCAATATCAAATCATATATATGATGAAAGAAACATTTTTATGATACATTCTTTTGAAAAAGATGCAACGCACATTCTTATGATGCATTACATTTGAAAAAACGCATTATTTTTTTTTGTATGTGTTTAGGAAGTGACTTAACTCTAACGCTGGAGTAATATCAAATACTTTCTTTTGGGTCTTACTAAATGCTGAAAAGATCTTTAAATTGAAGGCAGTGCTACTTTTGATTTTCATAACCAATGGGGCATTTTATTAATGAAAAACTATTAATTTAAAATAAAAATAAAAAATTTATTAGAGAATTAAATCTAATTTAAATTATTAATAAAAAATTAACTTTAAATTAATTCAATATTTTAATAGAAAAAATAAAAACTAGGCTGCATTACTAAAAATAAAAGAAATGTGAATAAACCCCTTTCAATACTATTTTTGCTTTTAAAAGCAGAAAGATGTTGAAGCAATCTAAATATAGCTCTTTACCTTGAATAAAAGAATTGTGATTTGATTTGAAGTTAGACCAAACTTAGACAGGAATAGTGTGCAGTTGCATGACACTTCTGACAATACACATAATTATTTTTTTAATAATTTGGCCACGGCTGTTAAGATGTTTTGACTTTTTAAACATTTCAAAAATGCGCTGAAAACACGTTTGTTTTTTTATAAGCATAACGTTTATAAGCATATGGAGGCTCAGATTTGGGAAAAAAATAAGCATATGTAAGCATATTTCTGAGCCTCGATAAACCATTTAAAAATTCAAATTTTATTTATTTTATTATTTCATTTATTTCAAATTTTATTTATTTTATTATTTCATTGATAACATTTGTATATAGTATTTATTTTTTATTTTTTATTATACTGTACTAAAGTCAACTTTTTATTTTTCTTATAAGCATTAACCTTTAGTAACGCACGCATTTTTAGAAAGTATTGAAATAAGCATATTTTATTATAAAAATGCTTAAGTTTGAGCATATTTTTGAGCCTCTTTTAACATTTTGCTTAAGCATACCCGAGCCTGTTTCAAAAACTTCATATGCTTATAAAAAAAAACATGTAACAGTTTTAAATTACATTAAAAATACCTTTGAACTATTGTTTTTAATGTTTTTATATTACATAAAGGCTTTTAAATAAAAAAACAAATTACATCTGATTGTTTAAAATAAATACATTTTATTTAAATTATCAAAGAATATTTAATATAACTATTTTTTACTTTGTATAAGTCTTTATGATTTTTTAATTTTTGAATCTTTGAAATGAAATATAAACGCTTGAAAGTATTTTTCCCAAAAAAATTATTATTTTTGATTTGATTTTTAAATTAATTTAATTAATTTTTTCAAATTACGATAGTATTTTACAAGTTTGAAATGATTTTAATAATATTTTTTCAATAAAGTGACTAGTTGTTTAAAATAAGTGCTGGCAAATTTTATTTAAATCCAAGAATATTGCAACTTTTTTTACTTATATAAAGCATGCACTTTTTTATTGTAAAAATATTGAAGTATTTTTATAATATTTTTATTATACAGTTTTTACAAAAAAAGAAAAATGAAATATGATTACTTTATTTCTTTTGTTTATATTATCAAAAAGAAAAAATATTATCAAAAAGAATTTAATTTACTAGTCAGAGCATGAAATAATTAAAAATTACTAAATTATTTTTTTCTTTTATCTTGTTGGAAATAAAATATAGCAAAAACATTTGCTAAAAATATAATCTATTTGTACTAAAAAGTAGAAAATAAACTTTTTAATTTAAATATAATAGTTTTGTAAACTAAAGATTGACAAGTTTGCGAAAGGTTTAGATAATAGATAATACCAGTCAATCTTTAGTTTACGGAACTATTAAATTTAAATTAAAAAGTTTATTTTCTACTTTTTAGTACAAATAGATTATATTTTTAGCAAATGTTTTTGCTATATTTTATTTTCTACTTTTTAGTCTTTACAGAAAGTTACGATATTTAGCAATGCGTCAGTCTAGACATGTGTAATTAAGTTGAGGTTTTTATCCTAAAGAAACAGAGTATTTACTGATTAAAGGAGTGGAATATTTTTCTTTTAAAAGATAAAATTTTTTTATATAAAGTAAAATAACATAAAGCACAAATATTTCATTTGCATTGCAACCTGCGTCCTCCCACAGATGTAGTATATTTTTATATTAATATTAAACAAAGTTAAAAAAAAAAATAAAAAAAAAAAAAGTATTAAAAAAAAGGTTTAAAAAGAAATACAAACCCACAGCAATCTTAGCCGATTTTAAAAATATAAAAAAATATTTTTAAAAGAGAACAAAGTATATTAAAAAAAAAATTACAAACCCACAAGCAATATTAGCCTATTTTAAAAATGAAAAGATTTGTTAATTAATAAAGCTTATTATTATTAACAAACCTGCAAACAATTTAGTAGCAAACTTTTTATATAAAATACTAGTTTTTAGTGCGCCATGGACAACAACAAAAGTTGAGATAGAAATCACATAAGTGAAAGAAAAGATTATAATATATTAAATTTTTTAGAAAATGTTTTTGCTATATTTTATTTTCTACTTTTTAGTCTTTACAGAGAGTCTTTACAGATATTTAGCAATGTCAAGACATTTGAAATTAAATCGAGCTTTTTATCCTTTTTAAAAAAACAGAGTATTTCCTGATTAAAAGGGACGACTGAATAAGTGAAAATTTCATATATGCAAACTGGCATAATTGCAAATGGCCTAAGTACGAACTGGCATTTATTCAAATTGGCATAAGTGCAAACTGGCATAAGTGCAAAGCAGTTACAAAAACTGGCACAAGAGCAAACTGGCATAAGTGTTATTTTTCAAATTGTTATTTTGCTCTTATGCCAACTTGCACTTATGCCAGTTCGCATATGTGCCAGTTTTTGCAACGCCTCGCACTTATGCTAGTTCGCACTTATGCCAATTCGCGCTTATTAAGCCATTCCGGATTAAAGGAGCGGAATATATTTTTTTAAAGGATAAAATTTTTTATCTAAAAGTAAAATAATATAAAGTACAAATATTTCATTTGCATTGCATTAGAAGTAATTTGTTACTAAATGTAAAAGTGTTTAACATAACTTTAAGCAAAACGTTTCAAAAGATAAAATTATTAAAATTATTTCAAACACATTAAGAACGTAAGAAAAAATTATTTTTACTTCAAGTTTGAGTTTTGTTTTAGTTATTGTATACTTTCTTTTTCATAAGAAACTCTTATCTTATAAATAAGGTCTCTAAATATTCAAAAATATAAAAATATCTGAATTTTCTTTTTAGTTTTTACTTTTTGTTTTTTAAATTTTTTTATCTTTTTAAATTTAAGTTAAGTTTAACTTCAAATTTGATTCTCACCACATCCCTGGTAGTACCGTACTCAACTTGTTTCTCCACGCAGCAACCTTGTTTGTGAAGGCTCATGTTTTGGAGTTATAGAATTGAGAGAGGGTTATAATAAAATAACCACAACTAAGAAGCTTCCTTGTCTGTAGTGATCTTCTCTGCCTTGGGGAGATTAATTAACATAAAAAAAAAAACATTTCTAAAATGTTTTAAAATTTTCAAAACATCTAAACAGCTGTGGTCAAACTGTCAAAGTATATATGCATTGTCAGTCATTGGCATTAAAGACAAATTTAAGTTTCAAGTCTTATTTTATTTTATCAAGTCAATTCTAAAGTCTTTAAAACTGCAACTCTTGTTTGACTTGAGTTTATATCTTAAGTCTTAAGTCGACAGATCTGAATTTAACAATTTTTCTAAAAATTCATAATAATAATAAAAAAAAGAAATAAGAGTAAAAAAAAGCTGTTCCTTACATTTTTTCCAGAAAGTGTACCATAAAAAATATTCATATATATTGAAAAAACAAAAGTATATACACAGTTCTTATATTTTTTTAAATCTAATAAGAGGTAAACATTTTTTTTCTCAATTTTTTCACCAAACTATTTTAATAACACAGCTTATATAAATAAAAACACACAAAAAATGCATTACAGTAGACTACTTAAAAATTGCTTATTAGTGATATATGATGCAAATCTGTTGCAACAAAGCACATTTAATACATTGTAATACAGCAACACACAAGAACCTAAAGAATTGTTAAAACTCCAAAAATCTTTCATAAAGAGGTTAAGCTTGAATATTACCTTGTATATTATTTCAAGTTTAATACTACATTCATTGTCACTTTTTTTTTTATCTCATTCAATTAAATAAAATAAAAAAAAAACCTACCACATATTTTTTTTATCTCAAGAACCTCTTGGACAGACAAAAGATGGTAACGATTTCTATAAATTAGAAAACATCTCACAATTAATCATTTTTATTAAGAAAAATAATGAGCAAACAAAAAATAAAAAATAATTTAATAAATTAAAAACTGTAGAAATCTTAAATAACCATAGTAACATCAATAACAACAATTACCACAACAACAACAACTAAAAAATAAACAAAACTTACTCATTGTGGTCACAAAAGCTGTGGATAAACCGTAACAGCTGAATCTTCAAAGTAACCTCCTGACAATATTTATAAAATAAGAGTTATAAAACATTGCTGAAGTAATTTTAACATTATTCTCCATCAAAACCAAGGCCTGTCGACTCTTGGTTTTACATTGTTTTGAGTGTAATCATACACACATGGCATTTCGAGATGTTCTGGTAGAATAGAAATAATATCTGTTTTATATTGCATTTTTCTTTAATAAATAATACTCTTCATTACTCAGAAATGCCTTAATATTGTGCTGCAATTAACTGCACAAATATGAGCTAATCAAAATTGTCAAGTTATCAAGATATGTCAATGATTAACTTACTACTCAAATATGAAAGCTATATATTATTCTTAATTCTACAGGTGCAAGAGGAGATCTTGATGAAAAACTTATTGAAATTCTTAAAAATGATTATTGTTTGTGTCAATCATTTTAAAAGTTCAATTTTTTATTTAACAAAGACTGAGGGAAAATACCTTCTCCATAATGCCATCCCTACAATATTTAAGCTCTAAATATAGTCTTATGGCATCACATTCAGACGCTGTATGAGATGAATACAATCTCGCACCAAAATTGATTGATAGATATTTTAATCACGGAGTATTTTTTAAATTGAGTATTACTGTCAACTGTTACACTGAATTCTTACAAATCAATCAATTTGTTATTAATAATCTTTTTAATCTAATGAATTCAAGTTTCATGCTGATAAACCTGCTTAATGTGATGTAACAAAAATGGAAAATAACATATTACTGTTAAGAGTTTTTCAACTTTGGACTAAGAAATGTCTTTTAATTTAAAATCCTTATCTCAGAGAATAAATGTTACAATAACTAGTATACTGGAATTGTGTCAGAAGTTTCTCTTGGAAAGGTTTATCTGTGTTTTCACATCTCATTTCAAGCAAGATTATTTAAAAAATTTGTTTGGAACAATTCAGAGCGAAGAAGATTAAAATGACAGGCAGACTTTCAAACAATTTGGATCAGCTTAAGTAAATGCTTTATTGTTGTTGTCATTAGAAACTAGCAGGGCTAAAAACAATTGTCTTATAGAAACAGATATTAGCGTTGTACTGCATATAAATGCTTTATTTAAACATTCACGCTAAAAAAAACAACCAAACAAGATTGTTTACTTTTTTCTGGAAAACAAAAATTTATTTTTAAAGCTTTACTGTTGCAATTCTTAAAAAGAAAACTATTGCACAAAGCTTGAAGATATTGCTAGCTTGATAAAAAAGGTGTCAACAGCGACCCTCGGAATCAGGAAAAATGAGGTCAGCAATAATTTGCCAACCTCAATCTTTTTGAGGTCGGCATCAGGTCAGCAAAAATTATTTGATACAAAGGTCTGACCATAAAACATAGAAACAAGGTCGGCAATTTTCGCTGACCTCAGACACTTTCAGGTTTGCAGTTAGGTCAGCATTGCCAAATGCCGACCCTAATTCTGAGGGTTGCAACAGTGTGTGTGGTAATACTTTGTTGTGAAGTGATGGAGATTAGACATGGCTTGGAGACCAATAAGGAAACAAACAGCCAAAATTGTTTACCAAAATCCTTATTTATATCATTTATTTGTCATATTCTACTTGGCATTATTCATGGAATTTATTGAAAAGTGGCTTTATACTAAAAACCTAGCTATTAGATTATCTTCTAAAATTATGGAGTTTTTTAATTTTGATTTTTTATTTAAAAATTCCTTTTAACATGCTTTTTACTTACAATAAAATAATAGTTCGCATAATTGTCAGAACAAGAAATTTTTCTTTTACTGTATGTCACATTAGATCATTTAAAGAGTTGTTAAAAGATCTAATGTTTGCTACAAAAGTAATTAAATAATTTACAAAAACAACTTTATTTATTAATATTGATAATTATATTAAACAATGCCTTTATGTTAAAACTGGTTTTAAAGTTGTTATATATATATATATATATATATATATATATATATATATATATATATATATATATATATATATATATATATATATATATATATATATATATGTGTGTGTGAGTGTGTGTGTGTGTGTGTGTGTGTGTGTGTGTGTGTGTGTTTGTGTGTGTCTTTGTGTGTATGTGTGTAGGTTTAAATTTGTATTAGAAATGATAAATATATCATGTATATCATGTGTGTGTTTGTGTGTGTGTGTATCTAGGTTTAAACTTGAATCAATAATAATAAATATATCATGTCTTAAAAAGGCTTATCGAGAAATAATAGTAAGCCAATTTGATGATCTTCAATTGAAACTTGAAGGAACAATTTGTTATGAAATATTGCTGCTCTTTTGAACAATGTTATTTAAGAAACCTATAATTCTAATGGGGAATTTTTTAAATTATTGTCAAAATAGTATAAAAAAAGAATTCTTTAAATAGAATACAAAATGAATTAAGAGCAATCAATTACTGAGAGCATTTGGTTTTTTAAAACAAATAATATTTATTTGTTTTTAAATCTTATTCTACCTTGGCATCCCACAATCTTCTGTAAACAAATTACATGTTTTTACACGAGTCAACAGGCCTTGACCAAAACTTGATGATAAAAAAAAAAAAAAAAATACAATTTGTTCTGTACAGTGTGCCAAAAAAAAAAAATGCAGCAAACGATTTCTCTTCAAATTCTTAATTTTTGAATCACTTTTATTGTAATATAAAAAAACATAACAGGATAAAACTGGATGAAATAAAAATCCCGTTATGTTTAGGAAACAAATGAGTGGTGTGGCTAGTTTTAATTGTTGTGTAATTGTTGTTGAACATTTTAAAGTTAGTAGCTGCCGTATATAGTCGCAAAAAAATAATTGCAGCATAGTATAAAAACGTTTATTTATTTTTTAAAGTTTCGTGATCTCTTACATTGTAATTTATTTAAAAATAGATAAAAAATACAAAATTAAATAAGTTACTCATTTTTTCTAATTTTTAATCATTTTATATAAAGATGGCAAAGGGAGATCAACACTGGACTGTAGCCTAACATAATTTAGATGTGGACCTAGTAAAGCAGGGTAAGACATACCGTGAGATTGAAGCAGAGACTGGCATTCCCAACTGCACTGTTTCCAGAATAATGGGGAGATACCAAAAGAATGGAACTGCAGCTTCTTTGGAAGGACGAGGTAGAAAAAGAAAGATAAATACTTCCATTGACTGTAATATCGTAATACAAATCAAAAAGAATCGATTCCAGTCTGAAAGAAATTTAGCTAAAAAGGTGGAAAATGAGCACAGCATCAAGATCACTCCTCAAACAATACATAACAGGATCAAGGAAGCTGGTTTCCAAAGAAGACATGTTCGTAAAAAGCCATATTTGACAAAGAATCATATGAAACTCCGATTGGTTTTTGTTAAAAAGTACAGAAACATGGATATTAATTTCTGGAGAAAGATTTTATGGAGTGATGATCTAAATTCAATCTGAAGTCATCTGACGGAGATAAAATGTATGGCGCAAGAAAGGAGAAGCGTATAAATTGAGCTATATGAAAGGCACAGTGAAGTTTGGCGGTGGCCAAATATTATGATTTGAGGATCGATGGCTTGGAAAGGAGTTGGAAAACTGGCATTTATTGATGCAAAAATGGATGCTCCATTATACAGAGAGATTCTCAAAAATAATCTCGTCTTCAGCTCAAAAATTGCAACTAGGCAGTAGTTATATTTTCCAGCAATACAATGACCCCAAACACACCACTAAAGATACAACTTTCACTAATAATAATGTGGACGTCTATGAATGGCCCGCACAAAGCATGGACTTAAACCCCATCGAACATTTGTAGGCTATTCTGGACAAAAAAATTGGAGATCGGTCACTCAGAAAGAAAGAGGAGCTTAAAGAGGCTGTGACAGCAGCATAGGCGAAAATTATGTTAGAAGAAACAAAAAGTTTGGCTGAATCAATGCCAAGACAATATGAAGCTGTTATCCAGGCTAAAGCTGGACCCACAAAATACTATTATGTGATTTATTAATACTAAAATGTGATTTATAATTAAGTTCCTTCAGAAAAAAAATTTGCTGCAATTTTCATTTTGCATTTTAAATCAAAGTCAATTTACATTTATTAAAAATTTAAAAAAATGTGATAATGGAATTTATAAAATGGAAATAAAATATTGAACTAAATATACTTCTTCATTAATTTAAAGCATTTCTCTACCAAAAAAAGTATTTATTAGTATTTTATTTAAGTTTAGAAATGAAATATTTGAAAAGAAATCGTTTGCTGCATATTTTTTTGGCTCACTGTATACTCTATATATACACTGTATACAGCTATAGCCGTAAATACCCTACATAGGAAAAAAAAGTTTTTTGCATATATTAATGTGTGTTTGTGTGGTGTAAATGAGTGTGCGTGTGCGTAGTGCACTTTTATTGATGTTAATAAATAATCCGAATCATTTACCTTCTCTACTCAACTTATGTCTTGTTTCTGATCCAAGTCAGTGTTCAGTTTCTCCACATTTATACTTAGGCGCTTCTGATCATTGTTTGATCTCTCTAAAACTTTTATATCATTCATCTTCATCACCAGAACCTCCTTATCATCACACCTCTTACAACTACCTTGAAGCTTACTAGGACTTTTTCCGTGATTTTCTTTGTGATGGCCATTGGGTAAAAATTTTTCGTCTTTCTGCTGTCAAATGAACTTCTTATGTAACTTCTTGGATTCAAGCTGGCATGGAATAATTACTATTCCAAGTCAAGCCTCACTCTTCTCCATGGTTTTCTCTCATTGTGCTGCTACAATTTCCAATCAAAACTATTATTTCTATATCTATCACGAAAGCAACTCTCCAAAAAAAAGGACGTCTGTTTACTATTTCTAGAAATCATTGTAAAAAGATTTTGTCAAAAATTAGGCTCCATTCTCCACTTCTAAGAGAATCTTTAGCAGTGTCTATTATAAGTGCAAATCTGTCATTCCACATCTTTTGCATGGTTCAGATTTTGTTACCTCATCTAAAGACAAAACTGAATTCTTCACTAACAACTTTTCATCAATCTCACCACTTAATTCCATCAATCTCATCACTTGATTTCATTAATCTCATCATTTGATTACATCAATCATATATATAGTGGACAAACAGGTTGATCCATTGCTTGGCATTCATTTCACTCCAGTTTCTGTATTTCACTCCAGCTACTGTAAAGTGATATCCTGCTTAGACTCTTCTACAGCAGGTGGTCCGGACAACATACCTGTTACAGTTTTGCAGAAGTGTTCTCTGGAGCAGTCATCTATACCTCCAAAACTATTTCACAAGTGCTTATCAGAGTCCTGTTTTCTAGCCTGTGTGAAGGGGGGCATCTGTTACCCCTGCTTGCAAAAATTCTGGAGAACAATCTGACTAGTCTGACTAGACTACCGTCACATTAGTCTTTTTTCAAGGTTTTTGAGTCTTTAATTAAGAAAACACTTAATCTCTCATCTTGAATCTAATAACTTACTTTCTGATCATCAATATGGACTTTGATACTCTCGTTCTATTGCTGATTTGTTAACGGTAATAACCGAAAGGTTTTATCTACATTAGATAGATGTGGAGTGGTTTAGGTTATCGCTCTCAGCATTTTTAAAGCCTTTGATAAAGTTTGGCATGCTGGTCTTTTTCATAAGTTTTCTTCTTATGGTGTATCAGGTAACATCTTTAAGATTATAAATCTTTCCTTACCAATTTCCTTGATAAACAGCACTTTTTATTATATCCTGTAACTTCAGGGTTTTCTTAAGGTTCTATCTTTGTCCCTATACTTTTTTTTAATTTACTCTAACAATCTCCCAAAAATTCTCACATCTAAAGTGGAATTATTTGCTGATGATACTACCATTTATTTTTGTCTTGATAAGAAGCCAACACTCTCTGATTGCTTGGAGGGGACATTTGAGCTTGAAAAGCACAGGGCTCTCAGTAGCTGGTGAACTTTAACTCAACTTTTTTCAGCTAATTGTTATTGCAATAATCTAGATCTTCCCAAATTTCTGAATGGTAATGTGCTCGATGAGTCATCTACCATTCATCTTCTAGAACTAACTATCCAATCCTTCTAGAAAACCATATATCAAACCTATTGCAAAATTAGCATCTGCTAAGGTTGCATCTCCTTATTATTAATGCCATTTTCTTACTCTGGATTCTACTCTTTATCTCTTTAAATCTCAAATCCATCCTTGTATGGAATACTGCTGCCATATCTGGAACAGGTCTTCCAATGATGCCCTTTCTCTTTGAGACAAGGTGCAAAAACATATTGTAAACATAGTTGGACCTGCTCTTGCAGCCAACCTTCAACCATTGTCACAATGTTGCTTCTCT